AAGAAAAATGAAGAGTTGTATGTGTTTAAAAGCTGGCATTTTGGAGAAGGAATGAATATATTACCTTTAACTAATTAAATTTTCTAAAGATAAAAAATAAATAAAATATCATCTTTAAAGGCCACTTCCTCGAATATCAAAAGAACAAGTTATCTATAGTAAATTTATTTCATTAAGTGCAAATAAGTGAAATATTGCCTTTAGGCCCCGTTTGGTTCACAGAATCTTTCATTCCTGGGAGGAATGTTTTTTTTTTCCGGGACTAAGATACTCACGTTTGGATATGTAACATTCCCAAATGCCAGTAAAAAACCAATACCAACAGTGATATTTTTTTCTGTTTTCCCGGGAATCTTAATCCCCCATCTCCCTTCGGTATTTGCTTATTCTCGTCCCAGCTGCCTAAATTACCCTTCTCCCCGCTTGCTTCTGACTGAAACAAAATCTTATTTTCTTCAATTTGACGAGAGTTTTTACGAGGAGATTCCATCACTTCTCCAATGGATTTCTTCTTCTGTGGTGCTCCACGAAGACGCCGCCGCTGATGACGATGAGAACGTGAAGCAGCTGAAGGAATGCTCTGCTCTGTACTTATACTTGCAAGTTAATAAAATCCCCCCTTCTCTTTTTATTCTTTGAACCATACTCTAAACCTTAGTTATACCCCCAACTTATTTTTTCTCTCATTTTTGCTGGATTGTCTTGTTAAGAGCAACATAAATTGGAAATCTTGTCAAATGGGTATACTTTTAATCCTTTTATTCTCTTGTTTCTATTAAAACCCACTTAATTAACTTGGCTCTTTGCCCAAATTTATGTTTTTTCCCCTTAATTTTTTATTTTGCAGAGGTTCAGGCTTTGAAGGGATACACTGAGAGAGAAAAAGAACATCAATGGGAAGTGAATTTTTTATGTTGTAAGAATGATGAAAATTACCTCAACAATTCACAATTTCAGAATAATTTTGTATTTTTTTTTTGTTTTAAATTTGATTTGGTCGAGTAATGTAATGCAACAACCATTAATATACTTCATCGTTTCTTGATCTTGAACAAAAGTCCCTACCGAATAATGTTTAATTCTACTACAATAATTGTCTTGCTTTAGAATCTTTAAGTTAGACATGCAGCATATCCTTCCTTCAACCTTCTTTTTTTATATAAAAAAACACTTCTTAATGTTGAGGCCTCCAGGTAAATCATACTCAGTTAGTTTTAGAGATGCTGCTGCAGAATATGTTAGAGAGAATTGGAGAGGCCTCATATCAAATAAAGTCGCTTCACCTCTTCTAAACTTTATGCATTAGGGGATAGTTTCAGTTATGCATCCAGCATTAGGGGATAGTATCAATTATGCATCTAGAATTGTATGCCCTGTAAGTTATTCCTATAAAATCTGTTGCCCAAACTCTTTTCCATGACATCAAGTATGCATATTTCTATAAAATAAATGAACAATTCTTGTCCTTGTTACTGACTTCAAGTTCTCCTATATATATATGAAACAAAATATGTTAGATAACCAGTAATAAAACAATTCAAATTCTCAGCTAGCTATCATCTCAGACCTCTTTTGAAGAGTTGAAGAAAGGTACAAAGGTATCCCATCCTGAAAGAAATAATGGATGGGGTCTGTAGGACAATCATTCAAGACACATGTTAGATCACATATCAACATATTGAACACCTTTCAGAACCTGAACTTCCTGCTTGTTTGATTCATCACACAAATATGGAACATATAAGATCAGTTTTCAACTATTTTAAGCCACTGTTGACTGCAACTTGTATTATTGTGTTCTTTTAATTTATTTATATTTAATGATTCATCTGATTCTTATCTAGTAATTTATTAGCAGAGAGACACCAATGGTATGACGGCTGAAAATAGTGAGTTGAAACTGCGGTTGCAAACAATGGAGCAACAGGTTCATTTGCAAGATGGTGAGCACCTCTTCAAAATATTTTTTGAAAACACTGGTCAAGTTCAACACCATTCTTTCTTGGCTAGACTATAAACTTCTGTATGCAATTGATTACATGGTTCATAACATAAATGAAATTTATTATTCCTATGTTATTGAGTGGCTCTCGATCTAGGTTTTCTCAACTTTTGGCTTTGCATATCAGTTATGAATATAAATGCTTCATGTTACACTATGAACACCGAAGTTATGTTTGAGCTAATTCCATTGTTTCCCATATTGATGGATTTATCTTTGTTTCTGTTGTTTGATAGCATTAAACGATGCACTGAAAGAGGAAATCCAACACCTGAAAGTAATGACTGGTAAACCTATGCCGAATGGTGGACTAATGATGAATGCACAACAATTTCAACAACTTCAGATTTAATCGCAGAAACATCTGTATCCATTCCAGCCGTATCAACTGCACCAATAACATGATCAGCCGCAACATCAGACGGGGGACACGAAAGTTAGAGGTTCTATGGCATCCCCCAATCGTATAGATGCTTCATCTGATGTCAGCTCGACAGCATCAAAAGATTGATGAGTTATGTATGCCCATAAGACCAGGTATTATGGGCATTATATATTTTTAGATGGGACATATATTTCCTTTCCATCTATTTCTAGGTTGTTATATTTAATTCTAGCTGGAGATTGGCCTAAGATTTATATATAATATCATCTGGTATAGTTTACCGTTTCTGAAAATCCTTCGGTTTATATCCATTTCTGAAAATCCTCCGATTTATATCTATTTCATTGCTTTTATCACTTATCTTGATTAGCTGAGTTGTTGAGGCCATAATATTGGTATGAGCTTGTCATGTGCTATGTTATTCAGATTCGAGCTTGTCACTTTCTTTTGGAGTTGTATCTTCATACTAATGCCCGAACATATAGTGGGCATGACTATAGTCTGAGAAACATAGATCATGTGAGTTTTATTCTATCGCATTGCATTCTATGTCGTGAAAAGAACTAAGATAAAAAGTTTGCATCTAGATTCTACTTGCATCTAGATCCTCCTTGTGATCCAGGAATATAATATTGTCTGCCAACATCGTTGGACGCCTAATGGATTACATAGTGGAGTTTGAAAATTAAACTAAAAATGACTAAATTGAATAGTTCTACAAAGTTCGGGTGTTTAACCTAGATCCTTAGAAGTCCAGTCAAGCCCTTTCAATAAGATTTCATGATCTACTTTGTCTGCTTTGTCGATAAACTTGCTTAAAATCTGCCAAGGAGAATCGTTAGTAATACTTGATTCTTGTCTTTCTAAATGGGGATTGCTGGTATCTTCAATTCGCTTGGGATTTTGTGAGTTAGGTGCATTACAATTATCTTCGGTTGGGTTCTGATTGGCAGAAACACTCTTTGGTTTAGGATCCGACATGCAACATCTTTGTTTCTTTTCTTGTAACTAACGTCACCGTCGTCATTTGAATCTTCAAGATTTAAAGAAAGCTGCGGAATGAGCCCCGTCTCTTCATCATATGAATCTGCATCATTGTTGTTTTGTATCTTCCAAACATTGTCTTTTGAATCGTTGTTTGGCTTCTCTTCATCGTTTGGTTTCGGGTGTAGGTTTAGATCCAAATCCATAGTATCTCTGTCTCTGATTTGACTATTAGAGTCGTCATCCGAATTTGAAATCTCAGGAATCAAACTAATCTCTTCATCGTTACTCTTCTTTGCATCTCTATTCTTTATCTCGCAAATAACCCGATCATTCAAATCCTTGCGTTTTAAAAACAACTCATGCATAACCTAATGCTCATTATCTTTGTTTGTCATCTGATCATTCATGGTAGTAAAAGTGAAGTACTTATAAATCCCCAAAACCCGACCCTTTTTGTCCAAAATTTCCATCGTGCTGATATTTAGATCACTTTTTGGTGCTGATAAGTCTTGGATTCACTTGAAAGAATAAACACATTGTAACCACGACATGATAAAACATGGTAATGAACAAACAAGAAAAGAAGAAAAAGCTACAATATGATTTTTGTGTTATATTTTTAGTGTTATATTTTCTTACTTATTTGAATTATGTTTTTTAATATAAATTCATGAGATAAATAATAATGATAAAGTATGCAGAATTAAGTATAATATAAAAGATAAATAAATAAATTATTGTATATAGAAGATATAATAAATATTATATCTTAGATAACAAAAATAATTTACATCTTTTTATTATTATGAATATTTATGATAAATTATTGTATATAAAAGAATGTAAACCTTGTCGATTGAAAAATACAAAAAACCTCCCAGTAAATGCGTCACATATGAACCGAAGCTAGTTTCCACAATGTAAACATTTAGTTAAATGTTGATGTAAAATTTTAATATATTTTACATAAATTATGTAAAATTTAATATTGATTAAAATAAAAATAATATATGATATATTTAAATACTCAAGTAATATATTATCAACAGAAATAATTTTTATTTAAATATTTAGAATTTCACTTGTTAAAAAATATAGACCAAGGACAATTTGGTAAAATATACATTTCAGTAATCTTTTATTCCTTCAACCAAACACTGTAATCTTACATTCATGTCAAACCAACCAAACACAGTAATGTAACATTCCCAGTAATCCTATTCACTGGTAATCTTTTATTCCCACTGATAATCTTGCATTCCGTGAACCAAACGCACCCTTAGAGTTCGGTATCATCGGATAGGGTAATATTTTCAACAAATTCACCTCTCATCTTTAAAATCTAATATTCTCAGATACGAAATAACATATTATTTTTAACAAATCTCACATCTTCGAATCCAAAAGAATGAAATCTCATATTTAGTGTTTGACTTCTCAAATACGAAAGAACAGAATATCAACATGAGATCCTACCTCCTCACATGCGAAAGAATGGATCGTCTTTAATCAAGTAATTTTAAATTTCATCAATTAAATTTATAATATAATAATATAGGGCAATCACTTTAATTATGATCGATATTATAATCCTAATCGCAATCCAGATGATCTGTCTGACTTATCCTCTCCAGCCCATCTTTGTTTCTAACAAAAGCCCATCGTGTCATCACCGACCATTACCAACTCCACTCTTCTTCAGTACTCTTAGATCGGGAGCTGCAGCGAACACTACGCTTCACCGCCGGCGAGACGTACCGTAGACAAATGACATCATCTAACTTGAAGACGGTGAGAATCCCACTTTCCACTTTATTAGAAAAAGGACACTTATCATTACCCATCAAGACATCAGTTACAGTCACTACGAAGCTTAAAACATCTATTGTTCCTCTCCAGGTTTGTTGCTCACTTTACTATTTTGAAGGACAAATATGTGATCAGAGATGGGTTTCTGATAGATTCCTTGTTTGCACATTCATTTGTGGCTAAATTTTTGTTATGAACCCATGATTGTTAAATCGGTATTTACCTATTTTGCTTAAAATTAGGCAATCTGGATATTGTTTTGATAATTGATACATATATTAATAAGTTGATGTGTATTGATTTGATAATCATTTCTGTTGTATATTACGTGCAGCATCATATTGTAGATGAACATAATTAACCAAATTTGAATTGCTTAAGGGGCATCAAGCTACTTATCACTCGATTTAATTATTAATAGATGTTGGTAAGAAAAGAATGAATATTAATAATTACTGAGGGTGGATTACCGATTTAATGTATCACAGCTACTTTGTTCAAGTATTTGATGCACAGAAGATGTTGCTACCTGATATATCACAGTGAATTTGAGTTTGTATGATGTCTGAAGCTACTTTCTAGATTGACGTTTTCAGTGTCCTCGTTTCTTGCTTCGGTGCTCACTGAGTTCCGGTTCTTTGGACCTCCTTATTCGTCATTATTTATGTTTTGTGGTATTTTTTATTCTTCTACTGAAGCAATTGTTTGAACTTATGGCTGTAAATATGGGACGGGGGGGGGGGGGGGATGGATATCTGTATGTTTTCACGTTTCACTGATAGGAATGATCTACTCTGTTTGAGTAGCGAAACGATCCAATAGACTCTCTTTGTGGTTGATTCCAGGTATTTGTGCCTCGACATGTTAACATGTTTCCGCTGTTGATCGTTTTTATAATCGGATTGTAGATTTATAGTCTGCTCGGATTCTCATTTCTTAGTTGTAAGAAAATATATGAAGAAATCTGTTGAATTGCACAAACTGGAAGGTTTCGATAACCATTCAGAACTGTAGAAGATTAACATTGCTTTATTCAGATAGGGAAAAATTTGTCAGATTGGCTTTGGCTGATGAAGTTGAGTTTTAGAGCTACTAAGGTTGTTGCCTATACTGCAGATGCAGGAATTCTTTTGGGAATCAAGTTTTGCAGAACTATAATGGATTCTGTGAAACTGTTTTCTCGCGAAGAGCGTTGCATTTGGTATACGAGGAAAGGGAAAGACTTAATCCAAACACATTCTTTTCTCTTTTGCAGGTGAGATTTGAGAAAGGACATAAACCCTTAACAAATGAAGGTTTAGCTGTTTCACGAAGAGAGATGATGCAATGTTTAACCGCTGGAGTTTTTGGTGTTATCCTTGTCCCAAAACCGGCAGAAGCTCGTATGAGTAGATTCGAAATGAAGAAAAAGATCATGGAGAAGCTTGAGGAGCTTCGGGACTGAGAAAAATGGGATGAAGTCTCCAACACTGCCATCACCAAAGGATAAAAATAACAAATCACCAACTTTTCCACTTCCACTGCCACCTCCAGAAGGCACGGCTGGACCATTGGTGCAAGCAAACATTAAGAACACGGCTCCGCCTAGCAATGCTTCATGATGTTCCGGGTAAAACGTTCGTTGATGTTGTCAAATACCCTGGAATTTGTAACTTAAGACAAGTGGAATTATTGTTTATTGCAATAAGAGATAAATTTGACTTGATTTTCTTGGAAAATGAATGTATGTGTACCTTAGAGTAGTAAATAATACAAAGAGCAAACCTACATTAATCAACTGATCTTGGACAAGTTTCATTTGAAACCTCCAAAGAAAAAATAAGCAAAACCAAACCTTAATAAAACAAATATCCAAACAAGATCGTCCTCGCTTACTTTGTCGGATCCCACTTCCACGATCATAAACGTGTCTCTTCCTTTTCCCGTTATACCCTCCGTCACATGCCCATATAACACATAGGCCTCCCCCTCTTCCCCAATACGACGGAGGTGGCGGACCCTTCTTCGTCAAGTTCGGTTTCATCATACACCGCACCTTCCGACCAACTGTCATCGCTCTTCAAAAACCAAAGCTTCTGCGTGGAGACGACTAAAACTACGTCGTCTCCCCTCATCGCGATACCGTCGGGCATCAGCAGATCCCAGTCCAATAGAACGACCTAGCTTTTCCGTCGTCCGCATCGACCTTAAACATCTTGCCCGTATTGGATTGCACCATAAGTAAATATCCTTTACTGACGTAGGTGATGCCATTGAGACCGCAGTCGTTGAACGGGTCATTTTTGTCCATGGTGTTGGGATAAGTGGTGAAAGCCCGGGATTTGGATGAGACCGAGGCTTCTCCGTCTTCGTTGACTTTCCAGATGAAATTTCCGATTGAATTAGTGACGCAATATTTCTAGCATTGATTTAATAATATAATGTATACGAATAATCAATTTATAAAGTATAGTTCAAACGATTTTGAGATTAAATTTTATCATATCTCAATTAACAGGTTAACGTCAATCTCAGATAATCATTAATTGTTTCAACGAAAAATGATGAGTTTAAAACATATAAATAACCAAGTAATTATTTTGTAACTTTTATTAATCAGAAGATTTAATAAAATAATACTCTATAATCAAATAACTATTTTATAATTTTAATAATTAAAACTTAATAAAATAACATCATATAATTAAAGAATTATTTATGTATTTTACTTTTTAAAAATAACTTTTTTCCAAAAAAAAATAACGGATCAAAAAGTTAGGGGAATGCAGCTCTCGATGACAAAATTGTAATGATTGTCATGGTAGAGGTAGAACTTGATGTTCCAACGATAAATTTTAATGAAAAAATTTAATGAAAAATATTATTTAAAAGTATTTGTCGTTTTAACAGGATGAATTTTTAAATAATTTTTATTAAGATTTTGTCTTATTAGAAGATGAGTTATTTCAAATAATAATTTTTTTAAAATTTGTCATGTTAGAAAGATTAATTCCATTTCTACTATAACAATTATTATTATTTTCCTCTTATGTTACGTTTTCTTTATTCTTTTTCTTGCATATAATTTTTTATACAGATATTTCTGGTAATTTTTTTTATGTGAATTCAAGTTAGGGTTTTGCAGGTTTTCATTTTATTATATTTCCATCAACAGATTAACGTATATTAGAGGTGTGTATTATCGGATATCGGATATTATCCGATCCGAATTTTCGGATATCCAAAAAATTTGAATACCTAAAGTAATGATCCGTATCGGATATTCAAATATCCGGATCCGATCCGATTTTTTTTGCAAAAAATTAAAAAAAAAAATTAACATAAATTAAAACAGAAAATTGTACTGGTGAACTCACTGGTTTTGGGTCTCGCTGGGTGGTTCCATAGAGCTTGTAGCTTAAAGGCCGCCATGATTTTTGGTTTGGTCTAACAAAATAAAGAAAGGAATTTTGGTTTCGGTTCTGTGTATTATATTAGCTAGTGCTGAAGAAACTATCCAACCACGTGTCGCCACGTAATCGAAGTGAGTTTTGACTTTCAAACGCTGCCCTATAATATTAATAACAATAGGCGAGGCACCGGAGGATGGGCCAGGGCCCAGGGGGACGTCATAGGCCATGGACTCCGAACCTATGACAACTTGACAAGTCAGTGACTTGTGTTTAGAATTATAGAAAATAGCAACAACAAAAAATTCGGGTTTTCTAATAATCCGAAAATGGTATATTTTCGATCCGCATCCAATCCGATAATCCGAAAAGAAATTTGGATACCTGATCTAAATTCTCTGAAAATTAAAAAACGGATTGGATATACAAATTTTCGGATCGGATCAACGGATCGGATCGGTCGAATCGGGTTTTTTTGCACACCCCTAACGTACATCTCAGACAGTCACTAATTTTTTCAATAGAAAAATGATGAGTTTAAAACATATAAATAACCAAGTAATTATTTTGTAACTTTGATTAGTCGGATGATTTAACAAAGTAGCGCTCTATAGTCGGATGATTATTTTATAAATTTATTAATCGAGACTTAATAAAATAATATCTTATAGAGAAACCATTTATGTATTTACCTTTTAAAAATAATTTTTTTTCCAAAAAATAATGGATCAAAAAGTTAGGGGAATACAGCTCTCGGTGAAAAAATTGTAATCTATAATGATTGTTATAGTAGAGGTAGAACTTGATGTTCGAACATGATAAATTTTAATGAAAAATATTATTTGAAAGCATTTGTTATTTTAATAGAATGAATTTTTATTAAGATTTTGTCTTATTAGAAGATGAATTATTCAAATAATATTTTTTATTAAAATTTGTCATGTTAGGAAGATGCATTCTACCTCTACTATAACAATTATTATTTTTTCCCTCTTAGGTAACGTTTTCTTTATTCTTTTTCTTGCATATAGTTTTTTATACAGATATTTCTCGTAGTTTTTTATGTGAACTCAAGTTAGGGTTTTGCAGGTTTTATAAAGGGAGGAGGAGGTTGAATTCAACGTTGTAAAGATCAAATTGTTTGACATTTGGATGATGTTTGTATAGGAAATATGCGTCAGAATGTGGGTAGGGGAGAGATTTTAGCGACAACGATTGGAAGAAGCATGGGCCACTAGAATTTCTGATTTAGGTTTAGGATTGCTCGTCATTTGAGCGAAGATGGTTTTGAGCAAAATGGATTGGTTTGAGAATTAATTTGGTGTGTACAAGAATCTAACCGTTTAGCTTGCATTTGTCATGTATCTTACAAAACCCAGACCTCATCTCCAATCCCCAACACAATAATATATTCAATTACCCTAACTCATAGATTTGCTTGGATCGGGAGCAAGCATAAATTTGGTGAAAGAAGAGAAGAAGCAAAAGGTGTGGGTAGAATAAAGGTGCAAGATGCCGCTGATGCTTTAAGTAAAAGGGACGGAACCCTTTTTGTCGCTAAAAGGAATACCCACAATCACTTCTTATTCACTCATCTAATCCTCACCATTCCATTATTTATTTTTCATTTTTTTCTTGTCTCCTGTCCTCTTTCTCTCCACCTGCCATTAGCCTAACCATGTTCTTTTGGTCATCGTTTCTCACTAATTAACCCACAAATTCTACATAGCACGTTGAAACAAAACTATTACCAACAACACCAATAAATTCTATAACCAATTTGTCGGTTTTGATAGGGAATTTGAGGGAGAAGGAATCTTTGGTTCATCTGAATTTAACATAACACCCATTCAAATTTAATTAATTGTTCATATTTTATAAAACAAATGGATGATTTGATCACATATTCAGTAACATATCTTTTTATCCCTTTATCTTTATCGCATTGTCTTTATCTAGGAGGAGTGAAAATAGAATAATTAAAAGCTTCCTAAAAATGATGAAAAGTACGTGCCAACAACAGATGAAATGGAAAGGGAAATTGTGAAAATTAGGAGGAAAAACATGTAATTTTTCTTTTCTAGTTGTACAAGAAGAAGATGGAGGAAAGTGGTAATTAGTGGGAAAGGAGGAACCCTGAGAAAGAAAATAATGGAGAAGGCAATTGTTAGTGAAAAGGATACACAAGACTCCAGTATGTTGATTCTTCCCACCTTGAGTTGGGGCGGAATATGCCAACTCTGAGCTGTGACTAACCCACTATCTCCGTCCAATATTCCTATTTTCTGCTAACAAACTCGTCTCCTTCACCGTCTATTCTAACTTTTTCATTTCGGTTTACGAATACCACTTTTTAAATTTATTTGTCATTTAATTCATCTCTTTTAATTCGAATAAAAAAATATAAATAATTATAATCAAATTAGATTTAATAGTTATAGGAGTTTTGAGAGCAAAATGGACAATTTCCTATTAGAAAAGCATAAGTAATTATAACTATATTTGATCATACAATAATAAACGTTGAGATGTATGTGATCTCTTCACATGAACATTGCTGGACTAGGGGTAAAATATACCTAAATTCCTAACTTGTACATAACAGAGCATTTATGGCATTTATATATAAAGATAGATCAAAAGGGTAGGTTGGGAAAATCACTCTCTTTAAAAAAATTATTTTTTTATATTTTTTAATAGTCACTCTTAAAATTTTATAAATTTATCCTTTAACATAAAATTTCATTTATACCCGTTTATAGATATAATACAAATCAACTAACGAAACACATAGGTTTATATATTAATTAGAAAAATATTTAGAATCCATATTTTTACAACTTACTAGGGAAGGTGTATATTGTTTGGGGGTCCCTTTGATTTTGGACCATCGCATCATTTCCACATAAAGGGATTCCCTTGTGAAATAAGGCAACGAAACTCGTCACTAAAATAAACGAAAAACCAAAGGAAAATAGCCCTTAAAAACACGTCTCATTTGCCCATTGAAATTCTAGCTTTGGTTTCCCAAATTTTCATCGAATTCCACTTCACTTTTTAGCCTTTCAAAGTCTCTGCATGTACCAAATAACGTATCATCACCGCAAATTTCTTCTTGATTTCCTCCTCCTTAACATAAATTGAACATCAGCCATCTTCATCTCAGCCCAAAGTTTTCAGACTTCTTGCTGCAATGACGTTGATTGATCTTCGCCAATTCCTATCGTCTCTAGCCGTTTTAGTCGTGATCACCACCGTTGCATATCCCACCAACGGATTGGAACCAAGGAAGCTTGATGAGAGCACAATACCAGGA